TATATATATATATATATATATATATACATACATTCATATAAATCAGTCTCCTGATAAGTATTCCACATACAGAATACTTATTATATCACCTTCGTACAAAAACGCAATACTCTAATTACCAAGTTAAAGATCACAATAAAAAACAAAGAGCAAATGAAAGTCTAGAACGATATTTTCAAACTCTAAACTGACGAAAGTAGAGAAAATCGGCCGCTTTGTTAAAACTGTGCGAGTCCCGACCCAATAAATATTCATTATACGGACATACATATACACAGAAATAAATGAATAACAGTCAGTCTAGACATGCATATCTACCGGTCAGATAAGTAGATAAATGTCAGTCTATGAGATAGACAGGCAGACGCATTTATTTCTGTGTATATGCATGGTATATGTGAATATTCTTTGGATCGGGTCTTGTGCCATTTTAACAACCTAGCCGAATGTAATCAACGAAAAAGTGAAAAGAGAAATAATGTCAGAAAAATAATGGAAAGAATAACTCGAAATTCACTACCAAATTAAAGAAAACGTTAATATAAAGAATATGTCTTTTTCTTTCTATTTTTCTTTGTCGTAACACTTGTTTTTTCTTAAAATTTGGACGGATATAATAAAGTTATGATTAACAGTCTGACGAACAGAATAATACGATTTTATATTCGACTTGAACGTTTGTTTTTCCACGATAGTCGGTGATATAGTATCTTTGATTGTATAAAAATTAATATATGGTTAAGAATATCAAGTAAATTCATTCGCAGTTTGATGTTCTTGATTGCATACATTTATTAGAAACTGTGAATACGATAAATTAAACAAAAAAAGAAATTCAAGTAATATAAATCATAACTTACAATTATTAGAAATTATGTTCACATTGATGGGATAAAATTAGTAGAAAAACACTGAAGATAAATTCAATGAGTAAATTCATTAGTTGTATATACAGAAAAACAGTAAGAAAGGTAGAGACACGAAAATATTTAACGAGTATTCCTAGCGTTCTTATAAATTCGTTATCGATATTACAGCTTATAAAATCACGGTTTTGATCACTGTCATTTTTCAGTTTGGTATGATTTTACTTTTTTTGTCTACTCAATATGTTTCATTTTCCCTTTATATGTTCCTTGTCTTTCTGTGTTACATTTGTAGTTTTTGTTGTTGTGTTATTAATCTGGTTGTCTTTATCAATAAATACAACTAATTTAATTTACCATTACTGTTGTGGTGCATCAATTCGCCTTGATTATCAGCAACATAGTTATCAACAGTAGTCCATGTATATATATATGTATATATATATATATATATATATATATGTGTGTGTGTGTGTGTGTGTGTGTGTGTGTGTGTGTGTGTGTGTGTGTGTGTGTGTGTGTGTGTGTGTGTGTGTGTATGTGTGTGTGTGTGTGTGTGTGTGTGTGTGTGTGTGTGTGTGTGTGTGTGTGTGTGTGTGTAAGTGTGTGTGTATATGTGTTTGTGTGTATAAGAAAGTGTGTGTGTGTGTGCAAAAAACTGATCATCTAGTATATTTGCAAAGTCCATTAGATTACCCATACTATGCGGCTGGCAAATTAGATGAGAAACACCGCCCATTAATCCCAACCAGATCTCGCCAACTTTACTCAATGGTCACTTAGTATATTCCACCTTGAGGTAAAGCATCTCGCTAATTAGTATGTGATTAATCAGCTAAAACACACTCCCACCTAAGGACCTTGCGCTTCCTGTCATTAAGTCTCATTTGGTAATTAATCAAAAGCGGTAGAAGATATTTAGCATAAGATGAGATACAAGGAAATGCCATAAGATGAACTAATATATTGTCTTGGTGACATTATTTATCTTATCATATTTCTTCTAGAACAAATTAGTTAAAGAACCACAGAAATAGGATTCATCCTTATCCAATTACAAAAAAGAGGATGTTTTTCTAAAAACAAAACTTTTTTTTCTGGCGTTTTACCTCTCTGTATTCTGCATAAGTATTGTTTACATGTTTTTTCAAGTCTGAATAAATATTCGTTTCTATTCATTTTGTTTTTGATGTATGCGTGTTCCGAAATTGGGAAGGTTTTAGGAATAGTACTGCATAGTGTCCGTTGTCTGAATTGATGCAGTGTACAGTATTCGAATTTTGTATTCAAACGCTTTGGATTCTCAGAATTTTCGCTATATCACTTTTACACGAACTAGGAAAAGCTCCTATTATGGACAAAAGATGGCCTAACTTTTAAAGAAGTCAAGAATAAGCAATATAGTAGTTATACTCTCTCTCTCTATCTATCTATCTATCTCTCTCTCTCTCTCTCTCTCTCTCTCTCTCTCTCTCTCTCTCTCTTCTCTCTCTCTCTCTCTCTCTCTCTCTCTCTCTCTCTCTCTCTTCTATCTATCTATCTATCTATCTATCTCTCTACATCTATCTTTATATTTTTTTCTCCCCCCCCCCCTTCCCTCTGTTTCTCACTTTCTTTCCCCCTCTCTATCTCTGTCTCAGTCTCTGTCTGTCTGCCTCTCTCTCTCTCTCTCTCCCGCTTTCTCACTCTCGCTCTCTAGCAATCGCTCTCTCTCTTCCTCCTCCTCCTCCTCCTTCTTCATTACCATCTCCATCTCAGTCTCCATCTCCTTCTTCATTACCATCTTCTCTCTCTCTCTCTCTCTCTCTCTCTCTCTCTCTCTCTCTCTCTCTCTCTCTCTCTCTCTCTCTCTCTCTCTCTATCTATCTATCTATCTATCTATCTATCTATCTATCTGTCGCTATCTCTATCTACCTATCGCTATCTCCATCTATCTATCTATCGCTATCTCTATCTCCATCTATCTATCTATCTATCGCTATCTCTATCTATCTATCTATCTATTTCTATCTCTATCTCTATCTATCTCTATCTCTATCTCTATCTCTATCTCTATCTCTATCTCTATCTCTATCTTTCTCTCTCTCTCTCTCTCTCTCTCTCTCTCTCTCTCTCTCTCTCTCTCTCTCTCTCCTCTCTCTCTCTCTCTCTCTCTCTCTCTCTCTCTCTCTCTCTCTCTCTCTCTCTCTCTCTCTCTCTATCTATCTATCTATCTATCTATCTATCGCTATCTCTATCTATCTCTATCTATTTCTATCTCTATCTCTATCTCTCTATCTCTATCTCTATCTCTATCTCTATCTCTATCTCTATCTCTATCTCTATCTTCTCCTCTCTCTCTCTCTCTCTCTCTCTCTCTCTCTCTCTCTCTCTCTCTCTCTCTCTCTCTCTCTCTCTCTCTCTCTTCTATCTATCTATCTATCTCTATCTATCTATCTATCTATCTATCTATCTATCTATCTATCTATCTGTCGCTATCTCTATCTACCTATCGCTATCTCCATCTATCTATCTATCTATCGCTATCTCTATCTATCTATCTATCTATTTCTATCTCTATCTCTATATCTCCTATCTCTATCTCTATCTCTATCTCTATCTCTATCTCTATCTCTATCTCTATCTCTATCTCTATTCTCTATCTCTATCTCTATCTTTCTCTCTTTCTCTCTCTCTCTCTCTCTCTCTCTCTCTCTCTCTCTCTCTCTCTCTCTCTCTCTCTCTCTCTCTCTCTCTCTCTCTCTATCTATCTATCTATCTATCTATCTCCATCTATCTATCTATCTCTATCTCTATCTCTCTCTCTCTCTCTCTCTCTCTCTCTCTCTCTCTCTCTCTCTCTCCTCTCTCTCTCTCTCTCTCTCTCTCTCTCTCTCTCTCTCTCTCTCTCTCTCTCTCTCTCTCTCTCTCTATATCTATATATATATATATATATATATATATATATATATATATATATATATTATATATATATATCTATATATGTACTCAACTACAAAATAGATTTTTATCCCCAAACCCCTTTAGAATATCCATTTTTCTAGATTTTTAGATTTAAAGCATGAAAAATAGTAAACATCACATCGTATAATGGTGATGACATCTATCAGGCTTCTGTTATATACTAACCTCCCCAGAATTCTATGGAAAATGTATATTTCTTTGGTCTCATAATCAGCCCTATCAAAATAAACTATTTTTCGATCATTCATATACTGATAGAGTTCCAGGGTATTATAGGAACTGATTCCCTAGAATATATTACTATAACACTTAACGCTACGGAGTATTATTACTTTATTAGAGAAATGTAACAGGTTTCTTCATTTTACTAGACACTGCCATTTGGGGGTTTCATAAGGATGATTAGTAAGCTAAATTTGATATCATTGAAAATCCGTTATTATAAGGTTTCCCTTTTTCTCTCAATAAAAAAATCTATAATTTCGGTTACACATTATGAACATCAGGTATAAGCTTCAGAACGAATGAAGAAGAATAACACTTACCAATCATTAATGTAGAGTTTTTAAAACATTAGAAAGATATAAGTTGTATATAATGTATTATAGTTCAAATTTCAGTGATCGTTCTCTGCTTATTCATATACTACAAGGTGGTATTTGTGTTTTCAGTGTGTGGTGTTGACACATATTTACAGCATAGCCTGGCAGACATGTGTAATTCGTTTCAGGTTAATGTCCCTCTGATATGAGTTGAATTGCGGAAAGTGTAGATGCTCAGATATTTTCTCTGGTGTATTGTTGAATGTATGATTTTTTTTTTTTTAATGTAAAGGATTTATCATCTTTCTTCTCATCTCTATTTTTTCCCCTCTCTCTCTCTTCTCTCTCTCTCGTCTTCTCTCTCTCTCTCCTCTCTCTCTCTTTCTCTCTCTCTTCTCTCTCTCTTTCTCTCCCTCTCTCTCTCTCTCTCTCTCTCTCTCTCTCTCTCTCTCTCTCTCTCTCTCTCTCTCTCTCTCTCTCTCTCTCTCTCTCTCTCTCTCTCTCTCTCTCTCTCTCTCTCTCTCTCTCTCTCTCTCTCTCTCTCTCTCTCTCTCTCTCCCTCCCTCCCTCTCTCTCTTCATTCATTTTTCCGGTTTCACAGAAGAGGCAAATGAAATAAAGAAACCAATTGCCGATGCAACATTTATTACGGAAAAAGATGTTAATGGTCTGTCTTCTGCTCACGATGAAGGTCTTGCCACACGCCCACACTGGCCTCGATCTGTGGGCGGAGTCGGTATCAGATTAGTAAATTTGACGACTGGAATTATGTGAATAATCAAAGAAAAATTATATAAAGAAGAGAAGGGAGAAAGGGAGAAATATATCATTAAAAATGTATAGTAACCGAATTTACTAACCATCGAGAAATAGCAAAAAAAAAATAAAAAAAAGAAAGAAAGAAAAAAAAACCGAGACAGCTAAAAAAAAAAAAAAAAAAAAAAAAAAAAAAAAAAAAAAAATCAAAATTAAACGTTCCTTCACGTCACTCACCGATGATTTATCTGAGATGATTCGCTTATCTCCTCCCGGCGTCGTTCATGACCTTGGGGAGTCCAAGGAGGGAGTTGATGAGTTCGGAGTTGCGCTTCTGGGGGGCGGCGGCGAGGGCGGTCCAGGGGCCGCCCGTCACGCGCACGATCTGGGCCGCGAGTTCGGCGACCAGCTGGCGGACAGGAGGCGGAAATGCGGTGTAGGTGTATGTGTATAAATACGTATGTATGTATTTTGTGTGTATATGTTGTGTGCGTGTGTGTGTGTTGTGTGTGTGTGTGTGTGTGTGTGTGTGTGTGTGTGTGTGTGTGTGTGTGTGTGTGTGTGTGTGTATGTGTATATATATAGATATAGATATAGATATATATACATATATATAATAACAAATAACAACGATAACAATAATGACAATAATTAAATCACAGGGATAATAATAATGATAATTATAATAATAACAATAATAATAATAATATCAGTGACAATGTTAACAACAGCAATAATGACAATAATGATGATAACAATATACTTAATAATAACAATAGCAATAATAATAATGATAACATCAACACCGTATATGCTTTCTATATGTCGATATATGAAGCCTAAAAAAAGGTCGACGTCGCTATTAATAATGATAACAGCAATAATGATAATAACTACAAAGATAATGATAATACGTGATAATGATAGTAGGGATAATGTTAATAATAATAATAAAGATAATGATGATAAAGATAAGGATAATACATAAAATAGTAATCTAAATAATAATGATGATAATAATGATAATGATGATAGTAATAACAATCAACAATGATGATAAAAATGATGATAATGATAATGATAGAAATAATATCAAAAACAAAAATAACAATGACAGTAATGCTAATGATAATGATAGTGATAATAATAATGATGATATCAACAGAAATAACAATGACAACAATGATAATGATAATAGCGATAACAATAATACTAACTGATATTATCATTACTGATGCCATTAGCATTATGATGATGATACTAAGGATAATGATGATAATAAAAATGATGATGATGACGAAGATAATGATAACAATAACAATAATGATAACAATAATAATATTAACGATAATGATAATAATGATGATAATAGTAATAATGATAATAGTAATAATGATAATAATAATGATGATAATAGTAATAATGATAATAATAATATAAAAATGAGAATACATGTGAAAATATTACCAATAACAATAACAATGATGATAATAATAATGGTGTCAATAACAGTGGAAATAATAATGGTAATAACTGTGATAATAATAAATAATAATTAAAATAACAATAACATTAACAATGACAATAATAGCAACAGTAACAACAATAATAATAATGATAATATCAATAAACATAATAATAATGTTAATAATAATAATGATAATTGTAATAATAACAATAATAGCATTAATCATAATATTAAAGACGATGACAAAATAAACCATAATCATAACGATGACGATGAGGATGATCATATTGATAATAATAATCATAAGGATGATAGTGGTATTACTAACAATAAAATTAAACATAATGATAACAACTTGAAGCACCCAGAGAGCGCATACCTCCGCCAAGGCAATAGAATCACTGATGCAATAAGCATATTCACACCAAGAAAAACATTAAATTCATTTTCTTTTTCAAGTACAATGCAACGCTAATGAATCCTTTAAAAAAAAATCCCGGATATGGATCATAATATGGATTTGTTTATAACTTTTTGAGTTATTCTGCGCATGATCCGAATCACAACCAAAATTCATTTAATTTAGGCCAAGATATACCTCTGGTAAAAAAAAAAAAAAAAAAAAAAAAAAAAAAAAAAAAAACAGCAACAACTCTGTCCAAAATTATTTTTTTGTTATGCTAACTCACTAACCAACAGACTAACCAACACTACTTAAAGCATATACTTGGTGGAAGTAATAACAATAACAGTAACAATAATACCATTATCAACGTTATCATAGATATAATGTTTTTTTTGTTATTAATGTCATTATTTTTATTATTATTGTCATTGCCATCATTATCATCATCATTAATTTTATTGTAATCTATCAATTTCATTATCATTATCATTATTATTA